AGAGAGAGACAAAATTACCACTCAAAATTAATGCAAGCCACGAAAGAAATCTCGGCACATATATCAACATTTAGATCAAAGAACTATTCCAAGCTATGAGTTGAGGTGGTGGAGAAAAGATAACCAAGGATTTCACTTTACAAGACCGTTTAACTATCCAATTTCTACACTGTCAACAAAGGCTCAAAGTAAAGTATAACTGCAGCCTCACATATAAATTGATGATGAAAGAGACTAGAGGCACTGCCGCAATGTGAACCATAATGAATTGCTTTTCCTCCCCCACAACATGTACTTGAAGCAGCCAAGCGGGGACGGCTACTTGTGCCATGATGGAAGGAGTGCATGCTGTTGTACTGCTACAGGTACCAGGTGAGGCATGTTGTACGTCCAAGTCATGAGTTTCAGGGTCCGAATCGGGAGGGCTAAGAGGAGGATTTGGAGCATCGCTACTTTGAGAGCCGCCTCCACTTCCTGCAGAAGGGTCATTGACATCATCATCTTTCTTTTTGTCGCCCATGTTGTTGTCATCCTCTTTGGGTGGCGCACTTCCGGAACTACCCGATGACATGCCTTTAACCAAGTCAGGCTGTCCTTCCACTCCAACCCGTCTCATATGCAGCTGTTCATTCCCACTCGTCAGCCACTTCAACAATAATTCTCCTAAACCTTGTCATAGATTGTCATCCAAATTGTTTCTCTGTCCAAGACTATTCTAACACAATTTCCTAAAAATTGGAAGTGATGATTAAACAATGCATTCAAATGACCCTTCGGCACTAGTTACACAAATTGGTTTGTGTTATCGTGTTTTACAAAGACTGAAGCTTATAGAGAAATGTCAAATTTATTACAATTGTTTTAAGAGAAAGTATAGAATGAGATCATTTATCTTTGGTACAAAGTGGTCACATTAATCTTAACCAGTGGATGTGAAATTGGGTGGCTGCAATTGTTCCATTAACCAAGCTCAAACTTCAAAAGAAAATTTTTCAAACTGACACATCCAATCTATCAAATTTCACATCGGATGATAGTAAGTAATTGTGACCACGTTGTATCAAAGGTAAATGGTCTCATTGTATACAATCCCTTATTTTAACATACCTGAAGGTGTAGGTTGACCTCATCCGGGCGTGAAAGAAATGGAAAATCGCCTCCTGTCTTCAGGATTGCACGCCTTGCACCTGGATACCGTTCTCCCACCTGATCCTTCAGTTCTTGAGGAATAGCACAGTAATCATTTGTCTGCAAGTAAATGCTGCTGCCTTAAAACGCAAATCAGTGGAGACAATATATTGACTGAGCCTATTTTTAACACATCGCCCAATCACCTGAACCCACATTAAAAGGCTATCTTTAGAGAGAAAGGAACACAAATTCTTTCAATATTTCAAGTTATATACAACAGATTCATGGAAGGCAACCAATTTAGATACTACACAGTAAGAGGTGTCCATGTATAAGAGAAACTATGGCACTAGCAACTGTGTGAGCACTGATAACCAGGATAAAAGAGGGCAAATAGAGAAAGCAATAACCGGTTGAAATTTTTTATGCTTTTTCACAAGCCAAACTCATTACCAACTAAATGTTTCAGGCTTTTGCAATGGGATCAAAGCATGTCGGACATCTGGTTACAACAAGGAAAGTTAAACTGGTAGAGAGTGCCATTATTTTCATATCAGAACCCAATCCAATAGATGACAGTTTAAACAGCACTAAAAAGACAAGGACCTTCTTAATCAGGACTGTATCCCAAAAACCACCTAAAAGGAACATCCTACACAACTTTTTACGTATTTTATTGTAGAGTTTCAGATTCCTTTCTTATAGGCCATACTAGTGATTAAAATACTCAATGGTTAGGCTCAGACTCACCCGAGTGGCTCAGACTCACCCGAGTCTCTCAGGCAGGGTGCCCGGTTCCTAAACCCTGAGACTAATCCGAGTCTCACCAGGTCAGGGACCCTACTTTGTTTCTTTCATAGACTCAACATGCTTGCAATTCCCGACCTGAGAATGAGTCTCAAGTCTCAACTCACTGGGCCATATAACTTGAAAATCTAACATAGGAAACAGGACTATGCAATTGAGGGTGTGGGATCTGACTAAAACCTAATAGATTGTGTGCATATGGAGAAGACAACGTTTGAAAGGCAACCAAATAATCTTTGAAGGGATGGAGAGGATTTCAGCACGGAAAATGCCCCACACATATGAGCCATACATGCTGCAACATCAGGAGACCAGTCCCACCTTTCACATTTTTTTTTCTCTTGGTCAATAGTTGATTGAGGAACAGTAGAAGAAACGCGGAAGAAAAGACTTTCAAATATCAGTCTATACAACAAGAAATGGTTTTAGGATTTTCAAAACCTCAGGCACCCTGTGCCACACCCAGAATCACTAATACTACATAAATCTTTAACCCAAAATCATTAATACTGTGTAAAATCTTTAAAGTGGAGGATGACTAGTTTATACACGTTTCTCAGTGAATTTATGCAGATTTCAATTGAGGGGAAAAATAAACGGCACGCCTCACAACACAATAATGAAGAGAATGGCAAGAAAAAACATTAAAACTAATCCATGTCTATTATAGAAAAAAAAAATACAACATTATATTTTTTCATTGTGCTAAGAAGGGTGAGGACCTTAAACTTCCCCTTAACCTGTCCCTAGCATAGGTAAAGGCGGTGTGGGTCATGTTAGGTAGGCAGCCAATGTAAAACTATTCCAAAACTTTCTATGAATCCTGAATCTATGTTATCTTTTTTCATATTTACACAATATAAAATTTTGCAAATAACATAACTCGCTGACAGGAGCATATAAACATAAAAGGTAAATATCATTGCAGAAGTATTTCAAATAATGTGTTCCTTGCAGTTTAATTAAGATAATTTAATATATACATATAGTTTATTTTGTATATGGCTCTTCCCTTCGGCAATTAAAGGAAAGTCGGAATCCTAAATATGCAACACAAGCATCGCACCTCTTGAGTTTAGAAACTAATAATACAAAAGGGAATGTGACAACATTATAAGAAGATGGTGATGATATGATTTACTAGATCATTTTTTTATCCACACAATCAATGGATCATGAAAGAGGAGACAAACATATGTATATTGTACATACAGCCATCACAAAATGCAACGGATTGCAGTTACATACATCCATTATAGTGATGAATGAATCTGACAGAGTCAGGCGCCCAACTGAAGCCGCTCCAGAGTTTAGAGTCAACCTTGAGGCCAGGTCCTCTCTTGACAGTGTCTCAAGCTGTGTTAAATTAAATATGATCAGTAATATAGAGATTAAACTAGCTTCTCCGAAAAACAGAAAGAAGGTAGTGTTCTCGCTAAGTGGTAAAATAATTAGAAGCAGGCATTCTTTGACAAAATAAAATAACATCTTACTTCTCTAGGTGATAGGCGGGAATACTTATCACTATACTACAACCACCCCAATTAGTTGGAAAAAGGCTTTGACGATGACGATGATGGCTTCCTTAGGTGGAAACTAGGGCAGTTAAATATTAGAGTTAGAGTATGACATTACCTGGCATACTACAAAATCTACAGAATCCGCAATAAATGGTTCATGTGGTCCATCACGAATCCCTGTTAAAATGTACCGCTTCAACAAAAATGATGGTGTCCAACTAACACTGCAACAGAAGTTAAAAAGTACAATGATTAGCATATCTTTAGCAAGATTGGCAATAGAACAAGGAAAATAAAATTAAGTATCCAAACTGACAAAGAACAACTGAACCAGTGAACATGTATTATTCACTAATTCAACTTCATGATAAAGAAGATTGCCAACAACAATGTGTGGATTCAGGCTCAAAAGTCACTCATGCATCATAAGAATCCATACCACAAGAAAGTGATGCACAAGGAACACTTGTCACTGAAGAGAATGTTACTGCTACAAACTACGTGAACAAGCAAAAGTGAAACGTTGGCTATGTAGAACTGCCCAGTGTATAAATTCAAAAAATTTCTTTTTCTTTTATTAAGACAGGCAAATTCCACTTATAGGCAAATTCCACTTATAGGTGCCAATTACCATGCAAAAACAGAAAATAAATCCCTACTTTAAACAAGGATCACAATTTTACTGCCTTAAAATATAAACTTCATTCAAAGAATGATATTACAATATCTTTATGAATCAATGAACAAGAAAATAAGAATGAAGAACTAGGAAGCAACTTACAAACTGCACACAGGATTACCTCTATAGAACTTAGTATACCCCACTCCCAATTATCTAACCGTTGGCACAGTGATCCGATGGTCTTGTTGAATCCTCTCACAAGATGGGAAGCTGCCATGGCAAACTCTAACTCAAACTCGGGCTGAGAGCATATACATGAGATCCAGAGTTTATTTTCAACCCTCCGAAAACATTAAGGCTTCTTTTCAACCCTTTAAACTTGGGGTACACCACATTGTGGCACCACACCTCACAATAGTGAGTTGTGCTTGCCTCTCTAGACTGCCTTAGGTGGTGCATGCCAACCGAAATGGAAGAGAGAGAGAGCGGAATACTCGGAAATCTATCTGATATAAAACACTGAGAGAGAGGTAGGCGTGTGGAGAAAGAGAGAGAGAGTTCTAGAAAAAAAAAGGTGCTGGAAATGGACCGCGGGGCGGGGGAGGGGGGGGGGGGTGTGTGTCTATACGGCCACCTTGGGTCCGAGGTTGCCATCTTCAACTAGGATGCAGCTTTAACCAAGGAGTCCAAGGATGCAGCTTTAACCAAGGAGTCCAAGGTAATCTGTGAGGTGAAGAGTGTTTAAATCTGTGCCATCCAATTCCTAGATTAGCCATCATGATGAAGGGAGGAATCCAAGAACCATTATCCCTTACATACTTGACCCATATTCTCTTCTAGCTCTATTAGGATTAGTCTTTATCCATAAAATCCAAGTTCCTGTAGAATTAGGACTCTAGATCTTCTAGAAACAATTATTCGTTACAAGTCTATATTCTTCATGAATCCTTATCTTTGTATTGTTATAAAGGTATCTTTAACAAAATCTAATCCATCTCTCCAAATCTCTCTCCCACAACCAACTCCTTAACACACTAGGAGAGAGAATGAGAGCCTAGCCGTGTGGGACTTAGGTCCCATGTGGGCTGTCACACCGGGTGTCCATAAGTGGCGGTCGTAGCCTTAGGCCACTCCACTTGGGTCCCACTAATTCCACATGCCCTAAAATATTTTATAAATTCCATCAATATCCCAAATCAATGTTTATAAAATAAAATGAATTTTTAATTGCTTATAATAATTTTAATTGAATTAAAAATTCCAAAAGGCATAAATAAAATTAAGAAAAAATCTTCTTAGTATATCATAAGTTCCCAAATCACAAATAAATAATTCTATAAGAGAATTGGTACTAGTGGTCATGAAAATGCGACTTCCAAGGCACTCCACCTATGCTAAAAAATATGAGACCTACAGACTATCTTCTCAAACCAACCCAACAGGACCCATGAGCGATATTCAATTGCAAGGGTTCATGATTGGCCTATCAAAGCTAGCAAATAAATAGCAGGATCATGAATTTAGTGTGTAGGTTATATAGGTTCCTCTGAAGAGCAAGTAATATCTATAAGGATGAGTGCACGTATCACAATAGTGCAAGTGCCTCTCTCTGCAACACAAATACACAAGCAATCCTGGGTTGCAACCTATAATACAACTATAATGTATGCATGCCATGAAATGGTTATTGAGGGATGACCATACCATCTAGCCCTCAATGGTTGTGCATATGCCCAAGGATAAGGGTTTGGGACTCAATCCCACGTCTAGACTGCTCAACCCAGGTGAGTCAACCAACAAATCATAAAATGCCATATTGGTCCCATAAAGTCCACACTCCCACTAGAGTACATATTCACTTTGATTTTAGTTTTGCATGCTCTCAAGGCCTTTAAAGACCACAAATCCCAACAAAGAGGACATTAAGAAAAATGACAAAAGGAGAAATTTCATAGGTCCCTTTCTAGATTACAAACATATCGGATAAGGAATCTACAAATAAATGATTACAAACAAGTAATTTAAGAACTTGATTTGTTTTAACATTGCCGCTGCATATCATTAACACCAGACATTTGCTAGGAAAAGAAAAATTTAATAACTAATAATATGCAACAAAACATTTTTGAAAGGAAGAAAGACAAAATCATTTTAATCAAAACTTACATGGATGACCATGGCATAGCAGCTGCAAAACGGTGAGTTTCTAGAAATGAGTTTGAAAGCACCAATGATCGAACACGTCTAGGACGATGTTGAGCAAAGAGTTGTGCCAGGAACCCTCCAAGTGATGTGCCATAGAGATGAACCTGTTGATAATGTTCAATTAACCTACTCATATTTCTGTTAGTGTGAATCACGAGAGTTCATGGCAGTGTGAACTGAATCATAACATTAACAATTATTATTATTGAATTCAACAAACTTCATCTCAAACAGACCAATTTTTTATTATGGTGCACCTGGTATATCTGTCTATGTACAACAACATGGCATATATATCATGTCTGTATCAGTTTGCGAGCATCTAAATGACAAGGCCTGAGTGAAAACTCCAATGCCCATTGACTAATTGCATCAAGAACTCTAAATATCAACAAAGCTCATTGCATCATAATCCCAAGCCTTACAGCCTCATTGAATGATAATGTGACATCTCCTTACATTCTTTACATCCCCTTCTTCCCCTTACATCTATATATCCAAAGAAGAGGCCTAATTTATGAGAAATGAGCACTCCTCCCTTTGCACAAAATCGCTTAAACCAAAAATAAATTCAATAAAAAAAACCAACAAACATCACATGCATATAAGTTCTTGCCGATATAAACAGTCATGCAAACAAACACATTTCTTAAAAATTAGAATGATTACCATATAATAGTACGACCCCATCAAATATCCATTTTCAGGATCGATTCTACAATCATCATTATTGGAGCCTTATCCTAACTATTTGGAGTTGGTTACATGAACCCTATTCTATTCAAGATTCATGGAAAGTTGTAGGAAAGTTTCACGTTAGCTGCCCACCTAATACAACCCTCCTCCATTACCCGGGCTTGAGACTAGCATGATCGGCAACGGGTCGACCAAGGAAGAGTTTTTCATATACATTCATTGTAAAAAAACAGGTAGAATGCACAATTTATTGAAACTACGGTATGAAAAGAAGTTAGCACCTAAAATATATACTGGGAATACAACTTTAAGAACTCACAGTTTTTTAGGCATTAAGAAACTACAACCAGAAAGACATATGTTATGTTGTGCTTATGAAGTCAAAGTTATGAAGATAGATATCTGACAGCATCTGAAACATATGCATGTGTCTAAAATGCCAACCCCAATACTGGCCTTTCAATCACTCGTATCTATATCTCATTTAGGAAGCGAGGGGTGGGGGTGATTTAAGTGATGTTAACTACCCATCTTAGTGACATCAAAGGAAAAAGAGTAAGAAGAAATGTCCAAGTTTAAATGTGTCTGACACACATGTTGTGCCCTTGGCTTGCCGACATGGGCCAAGAACTGAGGATGAGATGTGCGGATCCCCGTTAAATAGGCTGAATGATATTTCAATTGGAATGAATGGGAAGGAGAACAAAGGAATTGAGTCTATCAAACACTGGGCGGTAAAATTTCAACAACCCCCATCTTATGAGTCTCTATTATTAGCCTCAGAATACATGATCATATAACCCATCAGTCATTCACTTGGGGAGGGTAGGAAGATGAGTTAAGAATTTGAATGACAGGGGTTTTCTTGGATTAGTTTGATTTTCTTGGGTCAGATTGTTCTAGAAGGCTTCCAATGGCTTATGTAATGAAGAATAACTCTGGCTAGCTATGTAAGACAAGATTCTTATGCAAGCCCATCCACAAAATAGCTGACTGCCCGATTCTTGTCTGAATAAGTAATTAGTTATAATTATAAAATTTATAATATGTTGCTGTTAAAAAGTAGCTACCATTCAAATCTGCAAAAAAAGGAAAAGTAAAGAAGAAGAAGAAGAAGCCCAATTAAAGAAGATGTTAAGGTAGCCAATAATTACTTACATGGTGAATATCAATTGCATCCAGAAACTTCTCAAATGAATGAACCCATTCTTGGTAATTCCATACACGAGGTATATCCACAGAAATTACACGATAACCCTGATAAAAGATATGCAAAATTAGTTACAATATAAAACACCTTATATTCCAAAAAACTAAAGAAAATCAACATCATGAAATTACAAAAATATGCTGAGGGCAATTGATCTATGCAGTTTGATATCCTCGTATCTTATTTTATAAGGTCTTCTAAATATCATAAGCACTATATGCATAAGAAGTGATAAACTCGCAATCAAATAGTTCTCAAGAAGAGAAAGTCGGGTCTGTCCCAAAAATGAGATAGAAGAATGATAAAAACATAAAAATATATTCTCAATAAATACAAGCCTGCTTTCGCAAAATGCTCTTGGATATTTTTGGAATTTGACTTGTATGCCACCGCATAAATACAAGCATTACCTCAATTCTTCTTATACTCGTACATCAAGCCAAAAGAATAAAAACATCAATGTATGAATCCAGCTATCCTCACCCTAAAGCAGGGATAAGAAACAGGAAATGCTAAAAATTGATATCAGGGGCATTTATAACAACCAATGAATAAAAAATCATTTTGAGTTGTAAAAACTTGCTCAAGTCCACTCGACCTGACAAGGTAGCAAGTTTTATAAATATAACACCCTGGATGTATACGAGTATTACTAGGTTATTCATAATTATTGATGTTACTATGAACAGATTCATGGTGTTGCCAATGAGGTAGCGCTGTAGTATCCTTCATTTGACGAACTAAGTTTGATTCCCATTATAGACCCATTCTTTATAGAACTCCCCATATGAAATTTGCAAAACTTGTGGAGTTTTTCCTAGTTAACTCTACAACTCAGTGACTTAACCTATTTTTGCCCATGACCAAGCCAGCCACCAAGTTTGAACTTTGAACACTGATAACAACTATCTTTTAATCTGTAGTTTCAGTCAATGATCAATCTCTGCCCCATATATTGGTCCTGAAATGAAATTTTCACAGCAAATGTGTCTGTGTTTTTTATGGAGGGCAAAATTATTCTTATTTTTTATTTTTATTCAACTTTAAAGGATGTATATTATAGTTTTAGTTTTAGAGCTTATTTCTAGGGTTTTTTTAGTTTTTTAGGGATTCTAGGAGTGTTTTTTTTTTACTTCATAAATACTATTCACGAATACTGTTCTTATGTATTCTTCACAGGGGTAAAACTGTCATTACAAATTTTAAGTTAAGTTGGGATATATGGGTCAATGTGTTATTTGTTTGGACAGTTTTTGCACTTGAAACACTAAATTATAATATATAAGAGGTGTGTGGGGCCTTGAGGGGGTCAATTCCACATGATTTTTGGGAATTGAAAGAGAAAAAGCGTAAGCTTTTAGAACCCCAGCTTAGGGTATGGAGAAAAAACCCTATGTTTCTTTGAATTATGCTTGTGTTTAGCTTTGCTTCTTGTTGATTTAACTGTTCCCTCAAATTTTCCTATATCAGGTTTTTAATATCAAAGCAGTTGTTAGACATAACATGCTTTCCACAAGAAGTTATCGGTCTAGTAATGCACAACTAGCCTCTGCAGCTACAACGATTCTTGTACTTCTCTTTAAAGGATATTGCTGCATTAACATGGTCAATACTGTACAATTGTTTATATTCACTGTTTCTTCAAAATCTTCGTACATGATATGAACAACATATCCAAGACATTCTATGGAAACCTTATGTACATCTAGCAGCAACAAGCTAAAATTACACAATTAGGCATATACAACATTTTTAGAGATGCAAACTCAAGTTCATATTCTCGTCATTTCATCATGTGTGGCAAATGAGTTACATGACTTTGTTTGAGGTGAATTTAGGACCACAATTTTTAATATTGGTTGTGATATCATTGTCACTTGGTACCTTGAGGATAGGATTTTTATTGAGTCAAATTCATGTCATTCCCTTTAAGCAAATTACAAGGAAACATCCACTCCTCTACAGTAACGGGGGCTTCCTCTCAACCATCCGTTTGCATGTAAGATGTTGCTCCATCCAGGTGTGGCTTATGATTCACTGTCTTTAGACAAGGGGAACACAGGTTTAATACATGAGGAGCACTTGTTTTTATAGTTCATTGATTTGCAGGTTATGATAGGTTCGACAAATAAGGAACAGTTCTCGCTCTATTTCATTGATTTCTAGATTAACAAGATCTTCATCGTTCAGTTTTTATAATCAAATGAGACAACAATATGTTCGAAATGTTGTTTGTAAAGTGAATGAAAGTAAAACTTCCTTGTGGATGATTTTCTTTCCATTTTTTTTACTGTTAACAGTATTCATTGATTAAAAAATGTGTGCATGTATATTTCTCCTGTACAAAACCAAATCTATATGTAAGACTTAGCCAGTTTCTAAGAACCTTAGGCCTCAAAAATGGTTATTATTAAAGATGTTTGGGAGTTTCCTTCCCATGTTAGGGAGTCTACGAGCTCATTAGACTCCCAAATAATTGAGAAGAAAACAGTGTGAAGAGGACAATGAAACGCAATGAAGATTAATATAATATAATTAAGGAGGACAAAGTAACGTCATGTATTCTCTCCTGAACTGGGTTTTGAAAGGAGCATCTTCTGGTCATCCCAAGCCCCAAAACCCAACTAAAGGACCACGTAAGGCCTTGGAAATTTCAAGGGCGCTTTCAAAGAGGCAATCAGTGATATCCTCTATTGGTACATAACGACAATGAGGATTTCAGCATTTGAAACACTAGAAAATCCATAAAAATACAAATCTTCCCATTTTGAGATGTCTTTGATCAATGAAGGGGGGATCCTCAACATGACTTGATGGTTGGATCGGCTATCTAGTAGTTTTTGTGCTTCGCCATTGCCAGGGATTTAAAATAGTTGAGATTAGCGATAGGTGGGTATCAAAATGATAAAGTCCCTGGAAATTCATACAGAAGCAAGCAACATGACCCTTTGTGAGCCAATCAAGGCATGTCTGATCAGAGTGGATTTCGTGGTTGGACATCTTCTCTTTGAATCACAAGGGTGATGCATTCATTTAAAAGAATGTTGCATATTTGTTACTCTTGAATAATGTATAGTTCACAGAAAAGGGCCTCTCATGTCCTAGGTTCATTGGTACTTCAAAAATACCTTATCACTAATTAACACCATAAAAACAAATCAATATCTTATTCTCAATAACAGTGCTTTCATAGATAATAGAAAAATAAATAAAACTAAAACCAGCCCCACTCCCCACCCCCAACCAAAAAGTATATACATAGTACCTTTATTGACAATGACATGATTTGCTTGTAGTACACATCAGCAGTTCCTGCTGTGCCCGGTAGACAAATAAGTGGAGGCACAACCTTTGGACCATGATCATAATATCTCCATTGTTTTGATCCAATCTGTGTTAGCAAGAAGCAGTGCATATTAGTTCACCTGGAAAACTAATTAAACGTAATGAACAGCCAACATAGGCCCAAAATAAGCAACTTCCACTCTGAAATAAAAATTAGCAGAAAAAGAAAATCCATTTATTAAACAGACCACTAAAATAGAACATCAGTACATAAATTAGAGAGAATCATTCAGTTCAATAATATGTTGCTTTACATGACTAGATCAATGAAATAGTTATTATGTTCCAAAAGCCAGAACAATTTCATATGAAGGTAAATCAGTTCACTTGATGTGTTGCTGGAAACACACCACCATGCAACCGCATAATCTTCTCATAGCACACTCAAAAAGTAAGAACTCATAAGCTTCATGCTAGTTCCTGATTGGTGAATTGCATGGGGTTCTAGTATTATTACTGAAATGAAAGGCATTCCATAGGTGTAACATAAGCATATGGATTCAGACTCCAGAAAAGTAACTAGTACGATGACACATGATAAACCTCCTCCCAATCATTAAAAAATACTAAGATCTTATAATGGATTCAGCATATTGAACAACTTAAGCCACTGCTGGAGGCAGGCAAGTGCACAAACTTTGACAGAAATGCTGGGTCTCCAAAAAATTTGCATTTGATAAAAGAAAGCCAAAAATCAATTTCCCCATCCGTTCTTTGAAAAGAGAACCAGAAACCATATGCAGACATTTGAAATGAGACATCTTACCATGGAAAAGTAAGTTTTTGGGACTGCATTCAAATACATCCTGCCATATTGGAAGCCATCGCAGCCCATAATTATCTACCATAATGTTTTTGAACTGTAAAGACTCCATGCAGCTCTCATGACCACCAAAAAATGTGGGATTCTATCACATCAACCACCAATTGAAGAAGATGAATTACCCGGAATTCAATGGCTTGAGCTAAATAAACCATGTCCATTGCCTCGTCAATGCTAGCACTACCATCACCTTTTCCTCGAGGTCAAAAGTTCAGAACTTCAGATGTGTTTCTTAATTTTTTTCATTTTGTTTTTTAACTTTGCCATGGCCAGTCCCAAGTCAATCATTCCGGCCCCATGCTCGGAGAAAGGAGAAGAGTTGTGTTAGGTGAGTAACCAGCATAAAACTTGGCCACATTCTTCAGTTTCTTCCTTTTGTTTTTCTCTTCCAATTTCATTTCCTTCGGAGCTAAAAATATATAAAGACAAGTTTCTGTTAGTTTTTTTTTTCTCCCCGTGGATGTACATTTCATTTGCACCAAAACAGTCCTAGATCCAGCTAACCCACCCAGCTAAAGGAGAATGGCTCAATTATAACTGATGGCTTCCGCAAAAGAGAAATAACACTTGCAACAATTAAAATGTCAACCTCGTCCAATACCAGCCTCACGGTCACAGTGCTAAAAATAAGCCAATCTGTGTTGAATAAAAAGCAAAGGCTCTTATAAAGAATTACAGATCAGTGCTAAAAAGAAGCCAAACAGTGTTGAATAAAAAGCAAGGCTCTTACAAAGAATTACAGATCATCGTCATCATCATCAGAGCCTTTTCCAACTATTTGGGGTCGGCCAAAACAACTGCCACTAAAACATTGCTCCATGTACAATTGAGATTGACGGGTATCATGCTCAAATAGTAGAGAAGCAAAATTCGAACAACCACATAACAATGAACAAAATCGGCATTTTTTATGAAAAATGGGACATTAATTGGCTTGAAACTCTCAGACGATTAAAGATAGATTGAGATGGCGGATTTGTGGAGCGACATACGAGATATTAAGGTTGGAGAGGAGAAGAGAGAGCTTACAGATATCTTGTGGAGAGGGACCTGTGACTTGAAATAGATGTAGTCCCCAGGCACCCCAGAGGAGGAACCCCCCTTCATGATGATGATATCCTATTTTCTTCCTCTCTCGATCCTCTTCCGCCCATTAACACCACCACCACCAGTCCGATGTGGCCGCCACCACCACCTTCTCTCTCTTCTTTCTTTTTGTTTGTTGTCGTTTGACTCGTGGTTGGAACCGGGAGAAATGCGCCAAGGAGAGCGAGAGGGAGCCACGCCTGCTCTCCGCCAGCTAATTAATAAAAAAAGAAAGTATCCTGCCTCCCCATTGGGCTTAATAATTACAAGGAGCGGGTTTATCGACCAGCCATGATTAGGGGTGGCAACCAGTCGGGTCGGGCAAATATCTAACTGGACCTGAAGTTATCCATCCGACCTGGACACGAAGTTATCAGACCCTGACGTGATTGGACCCGATCCAAAAATCAATAAATAAAAATATTTATATATATATATATATACTTTAAATTTTATAACTACAATATATAGTTATGTTTATTTGAAATAGTTGTGTTTATTTAAATATTAATTACATATTATACATTAAGTAATAACCATGCCGGTTGGGTCCACATGGGCCTGGACCTGACCCGACCCAACCCACCGGGTCCAATTTTTAAACCCATACCTGGACCAAGTCAAGTCCGGACATCAGGTCCAAGTCCATTGCCACCCCTGAATATCATCCATCTCACCCAGTTTCTCTTTTGTTATGCTAATGCACCTCTCTATATTATATATATTTAAGTAAATTTTTTAAATAAAAGGTTTATATTAGGTTGTAACCTGTAAATGTAGAATTATAGATGCACCTCAAAAATCCATTGAAAAATGTTGTTTTAATGTTGAAAAACCCTCTAACTTATCATCTCGACTAAAAAATATATTTGAGTCTTAAAAATAGTGCATCTTGCAACATAGATGGTAGAGGGCTACCTGGGCCCAAAAGCGATGATTTGTCCCCTTGTCCATAAGGACCTCGTGCCATACTATCGTTGTGACTCCCACTAGATAACCGCCCCTTTCTCTCTTTTTTTCAGCCTTGTGGAGGAACGAAAGAAGGGAACTCCTTACATTCCTACTAGCACTACTAAAGAGCTTCGGTCTTAACGCCCCTACTATTGATGTGTTGCCATTCCTCAGGTTCGCATGGTGAGGTTTCCCGTTTACCCACAACGGAGGAGCCATCCCTCCACCAGGCAGGCGGCCACGGGTCATAATGCACGTTTCACAAAACATATCCACTTTGAAGTAACACACTATCTAGACCCTTCATTTTCAAAATTTTCCTATATTTACTTCATTTTAATTATTTTTTAAGTTTCAAAATTTATACTTAGATAGGACAAGAGATTTTCGGATAATCCTAATATTTTTTTTACACCAAAATTACATGTTATGATCAAATTTGGAAGGACGCCTTAATTGGATTATTTAATGTTGCAACCTTATAGAAACCACAATATATGGTGTCAATCTTAAACAATTCATCTTAAATAGTTCCGCACATCTTTAAATATTGCTTGATGATCCTAGCTAAGACCTATTTTCCAAGGCATTATAAAATTCAAAGCTCCTATCGAATCGAGCTTGTTTATGAATATTTAACTTTGAAAATCGATGGTCTCAATATAATGCATTGTTTTTATGACTTGAAATTCTTTTTTCCATATTATAAGATTTTATGACTTGAAATTATTTTTTTCATATTATAAGATTGTATAAAATATTGATAAAATATTATGTGCTCCCAAAGGAGCATACTACTCATTTACTGCATCGGGTAAAACAATCTAGGAGTTTTTTTAGTATCCCAATTTTTGACGATGTATCCTCTACAACCCATATGTTGTATTAAATGGTAGAGTTAATAATGCCTCAAGATTTAATAGAAATCGTCCATTTTTTAACAATGAGATCTAAGTGCCAGAAAACTCAAAATTCAAACTTTTCTTTTGAATATCATAATCTTAGGTGGTTTCCAAAATTTTGGAGAGAGAAAATTATTCACGAGTTACTTTTATGAACGAAGGAGTGAGTGTAAAGTAATGCTCAAACGGGAACATATCTAAAAAGGGTGTGGTATAGAGCCGAGGCTCTAAACAATCAAAGTAAAACTCACCTTCAAATAGAGTCGAGAAATTTGGTTTAAATACTGGAAATATTTGTTTTTAATTATAAAATTTAAAGCTTCAAAAATAATGTAGACTGAGCAGATCTATGAAAATTGTAATATTGAAAATTGACGGTCAAAAAATACGTCACAAGATGCTCGATTTCCAAAAGTTGAAGTCCATTTTTCTTTTCATGTCCATGCATCTTGATGTTTGGATGATCAATTTGAGGATATTTGGGCACAAAACAACCTCTTCTAGTGAAAATTTTGGGGTGGGCTATAATTTGAATGTTTAGACCTTTAGCTCTATATAAACTTTTTTATTTAAAAAGTGTTTTTTTTGTAAATGGTTTTTTATTTTTTCCAAATTTCCCCTGTTTCAGACTTGAAGGTCTAAAACGTTTTTTGCTCATCAGACCTTGAAGGTCTCAAGTTATTCTAGACATCACTGCGGGGCATCAATGTCTGGCAATTGAAATACTAGATCGAAGAATTCAGATATTGCGCAACAAAGAGATTCCTCTAGTCCAGGTCTTATGGCAGTATCATTATAATGAATAATCAACATGGGAGCGAGAAGATGAAATCCAGACCTTGTACCCCAATTTATTCCATTAACGATTTTGATGACAATATCTTTTTAAGGGGGGATGATGTGATCACCCTAACTTTTCCCGGCTGGATGGTGTGCAACGCCAGCTGGGTTGTGTACAACACTGGCTCAGTAGAGAGCCCAGCGCCAGTTGTGTAGAGCCCAGCACCGGCTAAGTAGAGAGCCCAATGCCGTCTGTATAGAGCCCAGCGTCGGCTGAGTAGAAAGCCCAGCGTTGGTTGTGTAGAGCCCAGCGCCGACTGTGTAGAGCCAGCGCCGGCTGTGTAGAGCCCAGCGCCGACTGAGTAGAGAGTTCAGCGCTGGCTATGTAGAGCCCAATGCGGGCTGTGTACAAACCAGCGCCGGCTAAGTAGAGAGCCCAATGCGGGCTGTGTACAAACCAGCGCCGGCTAAATAGAGAGCCTAGCGCCGGCTGTGTAAATAAGCAGTGCGGGTTGTGTAGAGGGCTAGCGTCGGTTGTGTCTCTGACATGTAGGAGTTGTGAGTAAAACTTGTTAGATGCATGCTGATTTAAGAGCCAATTGTCTAGATTTTGAGCCTATTAGTGACACTTGGCCAGCAACCTCGAACCCAATAGTACTTAAACCCCTTCTCTCACCCACGCCACTCATTCTTACTTCATCTCTTTCTCTCTCTTAGACACAAAGGTTGGAAGAAGTGGTTGTTGGTAGGCGGCCATTGTTGGGCGGGTGAGAGCTGTGAAAAGATGAGTGGAGAGGGCACGACACAATTGTTATTCCGGTAAGTGGATCCATCACCATTGCATAGTAGTTGTAAGGATGCGTGGGAATTTATGCATGTGAAATGAGCAAGGAAAGTGTATGTGATGTAGAAAATCCTTACCCATTTTTCATTGAAATTTGGGGGTTTTTGTTCTACAATGAAAGTGGATGCTAAGACTGAATGTATGGTTCTTAGATTATGTGAGAAATGCATGTTATGTGTGTACATTGTGAAAGAATGGTACTACATATGTAGTACTATACAGTATGTATATGTATTGCCACTGTGAAATTCTAGAAATATGTGTGTTATTGTAATAGGCTTTTGAACTGTCAAATGGGGTCCGATGGACCTCAAACCATCCCCATTGGAAAGATATATGAATCTAGTAAAATATTTGTTTTTGCCCATTGTTGAAATTCTTTAAAAAAATGAAGTTATGTATCAAAATGAGAATTATTGATTGTTTTCCTGGATTTTCACTAATACCACTGTGGTCATGGATTTTAACTAACCAAACGAAGTTCATTTTCGGCCAAACCATAGCCATTTGAAATATATTTGAATAGGCTTCTTAGATTGAAAGTTATACTTTATTTTACAAAGATATGTCACTGTGGGTGGTATTGATAAAAATCCATAACTATCACCTTGTTTGGCACGAATTTTGTAACCACAAAATGGAATCCAAATGCTTTCAAATTAGCTCTGTTAGAAATATATACGTCTTGGCTCAAATTTTTATTTTGAAATTATCACAATTTGCCTCATGGTTTGGGAGTTGTAGTGATATGAAGAAGGGTATGTTGTTGTCCCTTGTACTCAGCAGGGTGCAGCTAGTAACCTTTAAAAGGCCAAACGGAGTCCAATTATCTTCAAACTAATCTCATTTGAATGATAGGTGTGTTTAATACAAAAATGGTTTCGGAATCACCTTCAAACTCTAAACAGTCTAAAAGTTAGGAATCTAATAGTGAGCGCATGTCATTGCCCCTGACGATAGGAAATCTAGCTGTAAGGCTTAATTGAAATAATGTCGTTATTATTATGGTAATGTCATTATGATATTGCTTAAATGTGCTATGCCCCTATTAAAGGTGATATTGTTGTTATCATGATAAGATACTGACATCGTTGGAATGATGGTATCATGCTGCTTATATAATATGTGAATGGATACCTATTGTGTGAATGATGGTATCATGCTGCTTATGTGATATGTGAATGGATACCTACTATATGAATGATGTCATGCTGCTTATGTAATTTGTGAATGAATACCTACTGTGTGAATAATGGTATCATGTTGCTTATATAATATGTGAATGGATACCTATTGTGTTAATGATGGTATCATGCTGCTTATACAATATGAGAATGGGCACCTGTTGTGTGAATGATGGTGCTGGCAGCTGCCTAATGGGAAGGGCACTTACTGTGTGAATGATGGTGCCAGCAGCTACAATTTTCTCTTGACTCCCTATGATAGGACGGGACTCGGGATGTGAATAATTAGGTGGGTCGTGCCCCTCAAATTTATATAGGCACTACGCATTGGGTCACCTATGGTAGTGTAACGGTCTCTCGCCAGAAGGACATAATGAGATGGTCGTGTCTTATAAGGCCACTGCCTATCGAAAACCCCAAAGCGCGTTGGAGATGTGTGCGTGTGTGAGGGCATTACGAAGTGGGTCACCCACTTGTCATTGTTCTCCCTCCTGAATGAGGGTAGAGGTTTCAAGTAACATGAGCTTGACCTGAGCGATGAGACTTCTACTTCGGGAGTAGGGCCTTTCTAGTTTTGTACCTATGATCTGATGTTATTTCTGTTATGCTTTAAGTAAGATGATTATGGCTTATGTATTGTTTATTGAACTGCTTTTATCATGTTACTGTTAGAGTGTTGAGAATCATATTTACCTTGTGAATGTATGTGCATTGCCTATTATTATCACTTTTATAATAGTTGGAATGTAATGGTGTAGATTTACTTACTGGGTTGTTAGCTCATTCATTTTCATTTGCATAACTGTAGAGTGAAGGGTGGTGGCATATGTGCAATAGGTGGGTGGCAGTTTGGGGGTTAAGTAGTTTGTAAATCCGTCTTCCGAAGACCTTCACAGTATGTTTTTGTGGTTTCAGCAACATGATGAATACTTTATTCTGTGTATTTTGGGCCAGTAGTGCATTGGAAGAATTGTAAAGACTTTTAATATTGAATGAATGAGATGACTGTTATTTTGGATTGATACTTGTCTGTTGTATGTACTTATTTTAGTTTTCTTTCGTAGTTTGCTCTTGATTCCGTGTTTTTATGCGTTGAACCACTCCCACCTGAGTGATGTTCGCGACTTCCGGTCGCGATCTCACACTTTGTCGCCCTCCGACAGGGGTTAGGGGGCGGGTTGTGACAGTTGAACTTAAAGATTTGGAATTGATGTTTGAGATCGCTTGTTGGAAGTTGGTTTTGTTTGTTTATGATTCAAACATCAACTTTTGACCTCCAAACCTTGAACGTTTAAAGTTGATATTTGGAATTAACTTTGGACATTGCAGATTCGAAAGTTATGAGTAAAAAATATTAGAACTTCAAACCTTTATCGTTTGAGTAGGGGCACTTTTTTTTAAAAAATAATAGTATAAATGTAATTTTTAGAGGGTTTCCATATCAATGATAGGCGTAATTTTGTCTTAGAAATTATGAGCCATTTCCAAATTGAGAGTGTGGCTCCGCTCCTATCTCTTTAAAAGTTAGTGTCATGAAACTTTATTTGTAGAATACTATTGTCATTTAGTAAAAATTTCAAGTGATACTTACACATACACACTTGATGAGAAAAATGCTATATATATATATATATATATTAAAAGAAACTATGTAGTTTTTGAACAAGAACACAACATAAAACTTTTGGAAAATGGTTTGATAGAGTTGCAGCCCTATCAAAATAAGTAAAGCCTCACCTCATAACTAATTGAAAATTGTAATTCAAACATTGAGAAACTTTTTACATCACTCATCTCAGCTTTAACATTATAGGTGTGAAAAAAAATTAGGATTTCAAACTCTAAAAATATTGTTTACTTTAACAAATGGAAAATTGTTGCATGCGGGCTGGACCGCATTTCTACATATGCGGTTTAGAAAGTATACAGCATCCATCTTAAGGATGGATGCAAGTAGGTGTTCCATTTAAAAACAATGTAAATTAACAGTCCAAACTTTTTCTTACT